TAAGAGATCATGCCCCGGGGGGGGGGAGGGCAGAGGGATGGTCATACCACAACTGCTTTTACCTCCCCTCTTTTCTCAGATTTTTGGATGTGCACATATACAGCATGATTTTATAAGCTGCTGGGTCCAGGACTCGAAACACCCAGTTGGCCATGCGGCATCTAGCCATCTTACCCTCTGTGCCACCTCATGGCCCAGAACACATACTCTTACACACTAAAATTTAAAAAGTATTTTTAAAGGGCAATTTGGCAGTATCTATTGAGATTTCAATGCTCAAAGCTTTTATACCTATCTTTTCTAACATTCACAAAAATAAATAAGTTAAAATTATATTAAATATAGGATGTGCATAAAATGTATATTGTGTATTCATTTTTAAAAATGGTAATCTATATGTATCGTCATAAAAAGATGTTTAAGACATGTTAAGTGAAAATAAGTTGCAGGATATGTGTATTTTGTAAATGTAAACAATAATTGTCTTATGAACAGAATAACAAAAAATTCTTAAGCTGCTGACAATGCTTATCTTGGATGCAAGGGTAGGAACAATTTATTAATTCATTTATATAATATTCAAAGAGTATCTTTTATGAATTAGACATGGGTCTAGGTGTTAGGGATTCGGAAGTGAACAAAAGAAAAAAAGGAAATATTGAATGTCATTCTGTGTTAAATATTTCTTTCTTTTTTTTTTTAAGAGAAAGATTTTCGCTATGCTCTCCAGACAGAGAGACAGAAAGAGAGAAATCACCCCCTAGGGGGAACGGCCACACTGCAATCCCTTCTCCTCCATTATCCTCTCAGAATCTTAGGCACGGGCACATATGCACATGCAGCTGGAATGAGTTTTAAACCTCTGGGTCCAGGACTCGAACCACAGTTGACTATGTGGGAGTCCAGCAACATAACCATTATGCCATCTGGTGTTTCCTATGTTAAATATTTCTGTAAAGTATGACCTTTATATTTTTATTTTTAATAAATTTATAGTTTGACTTTTATAAATAAATTGTTTTTAAGGTATTAATGAAAACTTTCAACAATATAAAGCAATTTGTTTTGTCAATCTCTTAAAATAAGTCATATTAAATAGTTTACAGAAAAGTCACTTGCATTTTCAAGGTACTGTGCTAGAATTAATATGAAAGCATCAACAAATTTCTAATACTGTAAAATGATTATTTTGTTCAGTTTAAAAATAAAAATAATTATCTGTTTAATGGTACCTCTTATGGTATAATACTTTACTTACAGTTTGTGGATTAATCTCCTCCTCTCCCATAGGTTCATCCATAATTTGCTGTCCATTCTGTGAAAAGCATAGCAAGTAGAAAATTAGCAAAACAGATTTTACATCAGTTAAAGTTAAATGAAGGCATAGCAGTTAAAGTTAAGTGAAGGCAGACCAAAAAGAGAAAATAAAATCATTGAGGAATATTTTCACCCCTAAAGGGCCCTAGTGAAGTAGAATTGCATTAAAGCATACAGTTGCAAATTTGCAACAGGTTGTGCTTCAAAAGTTAATCTGTAAATTAATTATTTAAAACTATAAAAAATATTTTTCCTTGGAAATAATAATAATAATTATTGTTCCAGGTGAGCCCTTGAGTTTATTGCAATAGTTAAATGCATTACAAATGGCCTTATTTGAGCCTTACCAACCATCATTACAACACTTTATATGGTAAAACACATTCTAAATTCCATTTCCACTGATAATTAATCAGGACATCTGATTAATTATTCCAGAGAAAATTAAGCTCGATCTCTACATCAAAAAAAATTTCAGATGGATTAAACATTTAAAAATCAAATTTATGCAAATAATAGAATACAGGTGGATGATAATTATGGGGTAAGAAGGATAGAAATCATAAAGAAAAAAATGACATGTGAATTTATAAAAGTTTAAAACTTTTTCTGCCAGACACACACACACACACAAACAAAAGAGAAAATGATTACCAAAAAAAGAAAGAAAGGAAGAAAAATAAAAGGAGAGAAGCAACATATGACAAAGGGTTGGTATCCTTAATACATAAAGAGCTTTGTTTTACAAAACTGTAAGAAAAAACGATGAACCTCAACAGAAATGAGCAATAAAGGAAAAAAAGAGTTCAGCCTTAGTACTAATCAAAGAAATGCATTTAACCCAAAGACACCTTTTGCCTTTCAAACTGGTAATGATTTACCACAAAAAAAAAAAAAAAAAAAAAAAAAGAAAAGTAGCATCCTCTGCTAACATGGGTATGGGGGAAAAAAGCACTTCTTGCTATACTGCTAGAGAAAGTGTAAATCAGCACAACCTTTCAGGGAGGCATTCTGAGACTACTGAAAAACAAAAATGAAAAACCACCACACACAAAATTTTAAAATTTTCCATCAATTCTACTTTTTTATAAATATACAAGTGTACAAAGATGTACATGCCAAGAATGCTCACCATAACTTTTTTCCAAAAAGAACTCCAAATTGGAAACCTAAATTCCTAATGATAGAGAACTAGTTAAATATATTATGGTACATCCATATAACGGAAAACTATGCCGTCATAAAAAGTGATGATAACAATGTAAATTTATTGACATGGAAAGACAGTTAACATGTAGTAAGTGAAAAAGCAGTTTACAAAACAGTATGGATTGTAATGAGCCCATTTTCAATAAATATATACATATTTCTATGTATATATTTGTATGGGAAAAACTCTGGAAGGATATACACCAAAATGTTAACAGTCGCTATCTCTAGTAAAATTTTAGACAATTTAAATTTTGTTTTTTGTTGCTTATTTGAATTTTCTAATGTGTCTACAATGAATATGTATATTTGTGTAGTTAAAAAACAAAAACAAAAACTAGAAGTTAGGAACACATAGGGTCTCCTCTTATTCCTTACTAAAAAACAAAGTAGCCCCTAACTACTTGTTAATTCAACAAATGTATAAGGAATTAAGCTAAACTTTTTTGGAGCATCATCAACTAAAAAACAAAAGGCAGCCCACCCATCACTCTGTACTCCAAATGAAGTAGCTGCTTTGAATCTGAACTTCTCTCTCTACTCTTCCCATTACTATTTACCATCCATCCATCCATTCATTCATTCATTTCATTCCATTCATGTTATGTTCTAGGCACTGTCCTGGAGATAAAAAGGTAAATAAAACACAGTCCCCATCCCAGAAGGTCTACTGATCTATTCAAAGGGCACCTTCCATTTTCACCCACTCCCAGAGGATGTTCCTAGGTTAGGAAATACCTATTTAATACTACAGAGCACAGAAATGCAGGTGCCAAAATGCAGGAAAAGGGAAGAAGCAGGTATAAAATCTTTATTTTCCTAAGACATTTTCAGAGGTTACAATATTGCTCACTTCTACGGTAAGGACACTCACATATTTCCAGGATACTTCCTTCTCCTAAAACCTACAACCACTAATTTAACTAAGTAGTGATTATTTTTATCCAAATATCTGTAAGAAATCTTCACTAGCCCTTAAGAATACTAACTTTGAAATCAGACACATAGATTCAATTTTATGCTCTTACACTACTAATTATGAAGCCTTGGACAGGCTATTTAAACCAAACTTTAGTTTTTTAAGATGGAAAATGAGAATTAACAAGTCTTATCTTCAGAAAGTTGTTTTTGAAGACTAAATGAGATGATACAAAACCATAGCATAGTGCCTGCCACAATTAATGTTGCCTATTTTTATTATGTACAAAATTCAAGCACCCAACTTGCTACCTCTTCTATATTTGCTCCCAGCGAGTGACACTATCATTTATCTAGTAGCCCAAACTATATTTTCTCATTACTTGTAAGCAGTTATTTTTCACTAACACAGATCTGCTCAATAACTGTTATTTGGCTTTTTGAACCCTTGGTTTAACTTGAGCTATATTTATATTTTCCATGGGAATAAGATTTGAGAAATGTCTGCTCCATGTGCTTTCCAATGTATGCAAAGTAAATCTCAAAACTGGTAATTTACTTTTAAGCAAACGAGTACAATAGAAATAACACTGAACCTGGAATTGGTAGACCAGGGGAGAGCTATAGGTCTGTCTCTAAGAGGTTTTAGAATTCAGGGTAATTTAGATCTTCCCTTAGCCTATTACTTCATCTGTTCAAAATTGGGATGTTTGGCCTTATCAACTGAGAATTACTAGGCTCAAAACTGAGGTAATTCTTTAAAAAGTACTTTTTAAAATGTAAAGTGCTATACTAATGCAAATTACTGTTATTGAGAGTTAGCTTTATGAGAATAAAATAATACTCCATAAAGTCCCTTTGATCTTAAAATAAAAATAATATTGGTAAGGGATCTTGAAAGTCTTCTGTTTTAACTTCATGTCACATGTTTAAATTCTTTCTAACTTGTTCTCACCTCTACTTGAACTTTATCAGGAGAGGAATGTACTACTTCACAAAACAATCTACTACACTACCTCAGAAAAAGCTCTGCCTGCTAGATAAACTTCATTAAATAGCAACTTTCCTCAGGCACAAATTCCCTTTAAGTCAACTATTAACATTGGCAAAGCCACAGCAAGTAAATTTCTATCTATGACTATAAACCACTCTGAGTCTTGTCTTTTCTAGATAACTCAAGTTCCCTCAAACATTCCTTTAACAAAAGATAAAACTTGTCACCATCCTTTTTTACTGAGCATGCTCTAATTCATCTTAAAGGATTACATGGAGTTGCATGTCATTAATATTCTACAGAGTAGAATACAACCTGCAGAGTAAAGGGCCTGTCATCTCCCTTGTCCTAGATAATAAAATTATGTTAATGCAGTTCACATATGCATTATTTTTTGAATGCTTACAACATAACTGCTGACTCACTAACATTTCTTTTGATTTAATCCTTATCTTTACTTAACTAAACCCTGCCTCCTCCTTTATCCTGTACCTGTTGTTACTCTTAGTTTTGTGAATAAAACCTTCATTTAAATTTTTTATTCATCTTTTTCCTACTCTGATCTGTTGCTACAATCTCTACAGACTGAATTTCAAATATAGCAGTCAACCTCTTAACTATCTTCATGTCATACACAGATTTTACTATATATTTTCTTTGCTGAATTACTCGCCTAGCTAATTAACAGTATATATTAACAAAGCAATCTAAGAAAAAATAATCAAGTGAAACATTATCTAAAAGGTATTTTGTGCTCTACTTTCTGCAAAAATACCTACTTCCTTTCTGGGTTTAGCATTGTTTTAAGTTTGAACAACCTGATTTTAAAGCAGGAATATATGAAAGACATACCAGTAAAGTTTCAGAAAACTTTTTCTACCAGAAAAAGCAACTTTAATGAACTTTTTTGTATCCTTTCATTCTAACAAGAATTGAAATGTTATCTATTAAAAATGAACATAAGTTACTTCTGCAGTTAATAAGTTTCCTTTTTGGGGACCAGCCAGTAGCCTGGTGGTTAAGGTACTAGATTCCACATGGCTGACAGAATGGTTTGGGTCCTGAACCCAGAGGCTTGGAAGTCACACGTGTGAATGTCTGCCCAAAATCCTGAGAGGAAATGAAGGAAAGGAGATTGTGGCATGGCCATCCCACTGAGGGGTGCTTTCTCACTTTCCTTCTCTTTCTTTCTGTCTCTTTCTGGTGAGCACACACACCCTATAGTAAATTTGAAAATAATTTTTAAAAAGTTTTTTTGTTTTGTTTTGTTTTTAAAAGAAAAAGAACATAAATATATTAAAAAAAAAAAGAAGTTTCCCTTTCAAAAAATGACTCTTGGCTTCTGTGGAGATTAGTTTACATGGACCATTAGTCTGATTCAATATTGTACTTTGTATGTTTCCCAAAGTTTAAGGAATAGTACTCACTAAACAAGGAAATATATTTATCTAATTTTAAGAAACAAATAGAACAAAAAAGGTTCTGGAGTTGGCCAGTATCAGCTCTTAACTCTAGCTTTGTCACTTAATGGTGTAGTTATATGAACCTGGGTAAGTTCCTTAACATTTGAGACTCAGTTTCCTCATTTGTAAATTGCATATAATATCTACCTCATGGGAATGTTGTAATTAAAAGGATCCACCAAGGGACGGTAGATGCTTAGTAAATGCTACTCCTCTTTTCATCTTTTGCTTCGATTGACTGCAATATTTACATCTCTAAAGATGTAATGCAATGAAGCAGTATAGAAATATTGAGATGCCTGTTTCACCACTTACTACAACCCATTTCCACCAAGCAGGGTGGAGGAGATGATTCATATATAGGCCGTATTTTTATACAGTGTGGCTAAAGAATGAGTATGGACAAAAAAAAAA